ATGATCCTTTTATCTATCGAAGTGTATTATTTATGTCATTCAGTTTCAACGATCTTCATTGAGTCTATTCAGTGATCGTTGAACATGTATTGTAATTCGTTCAGAGACCAATATACTTAATGAAGACAAAACTCACACCACGGATCCTTCAACGATGTCGAACACAGAAGCTGAATATTAGAGACCAACAAGTTCGTTATCTGAAGCGGTTTTTAGTGATAACAAGCTCGTCTATATAAGTGTGAAGTCTGCGTAAGATTCAGCAAACTGATGAGACCTTTCAGCGTCATTCCAATGTTCAACGATCAAATGAATCTTATCGAGAAATATTTTTTTGTCTTGTCCTTCTGGACACAAAGTACAAACTCATACATTTCAAAGTATTGTACCGTACGGAGCCACTCCTTTGACTGCAAACGTGCTTATCTACTTTATGAAAGAGAACTGCTCATATACAGCCAAAAGGACTATATATTGTAGCAAAGGACAAGCATTTCTCTAAAAGCTTGTCACGTACCTTGTAACTTCTTAATTGCATTTAATGCAATTGGTATAAATAGCTGAGTGGTTCTCCTGTCAGTTATCATCTTCCTCACTCTAAACTTACCCAAGAAGTTACTTGTCTCTCTACTCTCTATCTAAGAGAAAGACCCACTTTAACAAGTGAAGAGCACATTTCTTCTTACCTTATTTCTTGTATCAAATCTTTTCTTATTGCTATCTGTATTTTATGTGTATCTTAGATTGCTTAAATATGTTTTGTATCATATATCTTTCGCAAACAATCTGTAAAATTTGTATTAATCTTCTTTATCAATATATAGTTTTTAAAAGTGAAAGTTATTGTGTTTGTATTCACCCCCCCCCCTTTCTACAAACGATCACCTATAAATTCTTGTAGATCTGGCTGGGACCAACAGAAGGACCTTTTACTGAGACAAATTGAGCAGGGATATAACCAGTCATGTGTCTTAAACATCCATTGTCCAAGTACCATAATTGGGTATGACTTAGTCCCTATAGTCAATTATTTTATTAGTGACAAAATACCCATAAAATCATGAGGTTTTCAAGATAAGAGTAATATAAGATAAGAATTAGGTTTTTAGAGAGGAAGAAATTTCTATAATTTTTAGATAAAATGAAGAGATATACCTGAGAATAAGTCTTTAAGCTTATGGAGACTGGTGAAGAAATTTCTGAACTTTTTTTGTCAAGGAGACTTGGTTCAGAGAGGTGAGCCATAAAGGATATGCTTTTGAGGTTAAGAGATAGTTTTCTTTAGAAGGTCATTAGCTAGAAAGTGAATTTTTTTTAAGGAAAGAGAGTGTACTCTTTTGGGGTTTTCTTTGAGATGCCTCTAAAGATCAAGAAAATACTTTATTGACAACCATAATATATCGGAGTTAACAATCTTATTGGATATAAAAAGATTTGAAGATGGCAAACAAAACCTGTTTTTTGTTTTTGAGGGTATTATCCAAAAGTAATAAAGTTATAAAAACTTTCAAGGATTTAGAAACTTTCATGTTTTCACTTCTTGTCCTCTGATCATGGTGAAGAAAATCCGATTTTTCAGGTCTAAGAAAATGGAGACCATCTATGAGACAGAGTTATCCATTTTTTTAAAGTTATCTTTTTGAAAACGAGGATGTTTGGATAAAGATCCATCATCATTGGATGTGGAAGTCATTCAGATCTTGCTTATGAGATTAAACAAACCGCTCTAATACCACTTGTTGGTCCTGATAAGTGATGACTTACATCGGAAGTGTTTGTAGAAGAGGGGGGTTGAATACAAACACAACATATTTTTACTTTGTAATTCTATATTCTATATTTTGTATAGAACAAAGAATTACATATTTGTTGCGAAAGTTACGAAGATAAGACCTGTAATCCTAAACAATATGATTGTGACAAATTTGCTAAAACTGAAGGAGTGGGAGGAAGGCGGTACTCTTTCAGATCCAAAGAACTAAGGAAGTTCTTCAGAGGATGACGCCGATTTTGTTTAAGAAACACGCACAAATATATTCTTTTAAAATGGGTGAGTAACATTGAATGACAAGGGTGACCTTTTATAGTCACCATTGCATTAAATGCTTACCGTCCAACTTTAATGCGTGTTTTTTCCTGATTTTATGATCCATGCATCTTAGTACTTTTCATTTCATCCTTTGAGTTTGATATACATTTGTTAATTTATCCTATCTTTTTGTATGTCGAGGGAACAGTAAAGGAAGTATGGTACTAATAAAATAGCGCTTTTGATTTGGTTGACATGTTGTGTATGTTCTCATATGAAGAAAGTTGGTGAGCCAAACTTGTTGGCCAAGTTTGTACTTCAAGATTCCATTTGCCAGTAGTAGAATTTGTTAGACTACTAGTTGACTTTATTTTGTATTGGTATTCTTTTCGGCTTCATGACAAGTCAATCCGCTTTGATGACGATCTTGATCTCGCTTCAACTAGTCTTCGATTTTAGGCATTAAGATCCTTGAGACTTTAAGCATTAAGATCCTTTCAATAAAATCAATTGGATTTTTATGATTGGATGATAGCTTTAAAAGAGTTTTAATTTATACAAAGAAATCTGATCAATGTTACATCCAAAACCTAAAACCACAAGTTGGATGTTACCAAAATGAGACTATATTCGATGTATGAAGTTCATCGGATATACTACTTGAAAACAAGGTAATCAGGAATTTTTATTTCAAAGTGTTTGATCGGATGTCATCAGTATTATTTTCAAATCCGATAGTTGAGACCAACATATTTGTTAATATAATATGAATGAAAAACAAAGCTTATTGTCACAGAGTTACCTTTGCAAGCCTTAATTCTCGGACTAAGTCAACCAAACAACAAGAATACCGAATAAGATAAACAAACAAGAATGTTAAAAAAAATATTGAGAGAACTCTATGCTTCTATTACTCGACTTGTTTACGATTATGTTTCATTTTGTTGATTGATCTGAAATGTTTTGAAGTTAGATGGAGACATTAAATGGTTATGGGTGTTTACATCCCCCAGCTCAATGAATAGGGGTCACATGGAAAGAGGTAGGTATCATTGGTGTTTACCAACATTACACAACTTCAAGGCTTTATTATGCAACCTAAACCAAACCAATTATGTTTTCATCCTTATTTTGTGTCAAAATAAGATTATCAAATCTTCAATAAACAAAACCATGACATTAAATAATTCTAAGTCTTTGCAAGGTCATTAGGGATTTTCCTGAGTCTTCTTCAAAGCCCTATGAGATTAATCGAGATGTGCGTAAACTAGTCTGGATATTCACAGTTTACAAAAAAAAATAAGGTTTGGGTATTTGGGGATCTTCCTTAAATGTCACTAGTTTGAGCTCCTCCAAGACCATTGGGGATTTATCTAGATGTTCTCCAAGCCCTATAAGATTAGTCGAGATGTGTGCAAGTTGGTCCATGTTTAACAAAAAGTATCTGGAAAAAGTAGAGGAATAAAGAGGTTGTTTATGCTTGATATTACTTCATTTGTTCTAAAATAAATGTCCATAAAAAAATGGCGTTCAATTTTACGATTATGTAATTATTATACTTTTTAATTAACTAAATGACACAATTACTCCTTATAATTGAGAGAAAGTTTCTCCATCTTATAATGAAGGATAAAATGAAAAATTACCACTTATTTTAAGATAAATAAAAATGTAGATATTTATTTTAAATAAGTTGGAATAATAAAGAGGATTTAAATGGGAAATTGACTTAAATAGTCATTTATCTCTCATAAATTAGTCTACTAATCATTCAACTCTCTGTTTTACCTAAATATCACTACCTCCGCAAGTGACACATTGCAGACCTACCTAAAAGATAAAAAAAAAATATCAAATTTAACCCAGGTCCACAATTACGACGGTATCAGTTGCTAGCATGGGTTGAATTTGAAATGTTTTATCTTTTAGCTAGGTCCACAAGTGGACGGGCGTCATTTGATGAGGTATTAATATTTGGGTAAATCAAATTCAAATTTACGAATTTATATGAAAAAGAATGAGTTTTGAGGTTAATTAAAGAGGAGAAGAATGAATGTTGCAGAATAGGAGGTTGGATCTGAAGGATAGGACCGTGGATGACGACATATCAGTCTTATGAAATTGCGTACCTTCTTACACTATACTTAACAGTACACTGTCCCAACCACGTATTCATATCGTACCTTTTTTTATTACTATGGTCCCTCATCATATAATTTCTTTTTTTCTTCTTGAGAAAGAAATACAACAATTTTATCTCTCATGGCTTTTATAAAAATGTAAACCCTCTTCGTGTACTTTCATCGATGGCTTAAGAAAAAACATTGATCCTTAGTCACTGTCACGTACTTTCCATCGTCTTAACATGCAAGAACGAGTTAAAAGTTTTAGGGGTGATATAAACATGTAAATGAAGATGAACAAAAATACGATGATACAAATAGATAAAGGTAAATGAAATTACGTTTTTTCGGTTTTTAATATTAAGTGGACTAATGAAAATCACTTGATCGTTGGATAAACCAAAAAAGGATTTTTATTTCATGATGTAGTTGTCCGACGGATGGCCAAATCCGTTCAGACAGATGGGATTAGAGGTACGGACACACGACTATCTGTGACATGTTGACAGTCTAAGACTAAACCGATTTAGTTTTTTTAGATTATTAATAACTATAGATGTATTTGATATCTTAAATATAAACTTGAACCGTGAAATCACGAAAAAGAAAATTCTAAAATATACTTTAACTTGGAAAATAATCTATACATAAAAATTATAAATAAAAAAAAATAGTATATTTGGTCTGTTTCAACAGCACTAGCATTACCCCACACTCGGAATTTGCTACCCAATTGAACCAGAGAAAACTATGGAGATAATAGAATGAAGTGAGTCACCACCACTCATGTGTGTCCACGTGGACTAAACATCATCAAACAAAAAAACGAACGACCATGTACCCACCTATCAGAAAACCCTATCTGGAAACACTTGCTTTGTATTTTTTTTTTTTTAAATGATGTATATATATACACACACACACACGAAGAGAGAGAGAAGAGAGAGTTCCTTGCATATACAAAAACCCACCTCATTACAGGAAAGAAAACAAAATTCATATTTGCTTTTATACCCCTACTGTTATTATTTATTTATTTATTTATTTATTTATTTATTTTACCGAATTCAAGATTCCCATGATTAGATATCGATCTATCGCCCGTAACCTTCTCTTCTCTTCTCTTCAAGCACACTTGGCCTTGGACGAAAAGCAGTTAAAAGCATCATCTTTCCTTATTTAACTTGTTCACATATCCGAGCTCGACCAGGATTAAGAAGTGAATCCGACATCACCCAACCCTGCATCATATCACCCATTAACATCACAAACATTTTCTACATTTAATTTATGGAAAACAAAACCAACTATACATTGCCAAGGATTTTTCCTGGTTATGTCCTGTGGGATTAGTCAAGACGCAAACTGACTCGAAAACAAATTAACTTCTGGGTTTTTACTTTGGGCCTTGTAAAATTCTACCATGTGGAATCAAACCAAAAAAACTTGGTAAATCCCACACAAATGTGGGGATGTAGACAGACCTTGTGAAATCAAACATGGGCCATATAGTTGGGCAATGCAAATTGGATGTAGCACCTCATGGTGACATGTGGCATATATTTTATAAACTATTACTCATGGTGACATTAACAAAACCTAGTATTAGGCAAGGCATATAATTGTGGTTTGCTGATAACTCTCTATGCAAACAAGACAGGAAGGAAGGAAGGAAGGAAGTTATGAGCATAAAGTGGGAAAACGTTTTTAAAAATGCATTTCTACCTGTTCTTTAGCTTTGTTCTTAAAAGGTGCATACAAAGCAGAAACCATGGTATAAGATTCTGCCACATGAGCTTGAAGATCTGCAGATGTTGGCAAAAGAGCTGAATCATCACTGCTAGTAATTTGGCTGTGTTTTGATGTCCGAATGATGTGGAGAAGCACATGAGCCTGAATTACATACAAAAAAGTAGAACACTATAAATCTCGAGTATCTAACATGACATCAACAACCCTTTTTTAACCGTCTAGAGCTTATTTGTGGTCGTTCTTGATACCCATAATTACATCATAGAAGTTATAAAAAAAAGGTCATTGGCCCAACAGTACGAGGTTTTAAGTCTCACCAAAGGTGAGAAGCGTGTGTGAGTTTAATTTGCAGTATATAAATATTATACACTTGGTGAAAGAAGTTATATCATAGAAGTTCTTATCGACAACAGAAGTTATTTGCTGAAACAGTGGGAGTTAAAATTGGCAAAGGCACTCACGTGGAAAGCTGCTTTTAATATATCATCTGATTTTGCTTGATCCTTTAGCACTGCATATATATTTCCTTTTGAAGGATTATAGGCCACCACATATCTCTCTTTCTACAAAAACAAAAAAATAAAATACTCATTACAAGTTCATGTGCAGTGCAGAGACAACAGCAACCATCCACTGTAGTAATAGATCGAAGAATGGGTACTACCTCAAAGACGGGTTCTACATCATAAAATGAGTTTGCATCTTGAAATGCATCCTTAAATCTTGAACCTGTAACATAATGATAAGAAACATGTCCAAAAAAAGGGAACTGATGTAAATGGCAAAGCAAAAGATGTTAAAAGGTAATACCAAGAATAATTGGTCTGTCTTTGCACCATGGGAAATTGAATACCGTTTCCATCATGTTTCCTTCATGCAAAGTTGGGACACGCCCTGAATCATAAGCATAAAAGAAAAATCAACTAACATCGTCATTTTTATATATGACCTCTGCAATGCAGATTGTCTATTAGAAAGAATCTTCAGAAAGCCCAAACATAGGTCGAGACTCGAAAAGCAACAACTTTTTGCAGGGACAAGTTATATGTGACTCGAGACATAAAAATATTGGAATATTATAGGGACCAAATTATTAGTTTCAACTTTCAAGAGTAAATTATTTAGCAGGAACTTCGTTTAAATGTGCTCCAAAAGCTGATCAGAAAGTTCCTTAATGAACTTGAGAGGTTGGTTCCATATCAATAACATCTCAATGTGCATTACCCAAATAATAATGATGAAGATAATAATCAGGAACATATAAAAATAAAAAAGAAGCAGCTACGGAAGTCGAAGAAAATCTAAATCAGCTAATTGATTTGCATAAAACCAGACCAAACCAAGCAGAGCCCAGTATATCCCACCTCCGGAGGTGGGATGGGGGAGTGGGATGTCCGCAGACCTGACCACTACCCCTAAGAGTTGACCTCTACCCCCAAAGAGTAGAGCTTAACTTGTCATTTATATCTACTGTCAATGTCACTCCATCTTACAAAAATGTGGGCATGCTGATAAAAAGCCACCTTTTTAGTCATTTGTTTCACCCCAAAAGAATAATCCACTAACTTTATTCACACCCATATACAACATTAGTAAACAGTGAGAGAAAAGTAATGATTCTTTCCATCGACAAACACACCAGCACAGTATCTCCACTTCTCTTTTTGTCTTTCCCATCACTCCCATTAGTATGGCAAATCTATTACAAGGTGGCTTTGTTGATAGGCATTTCTATCAGTATCATAGATTTTGGTTGCATTAGTAATTCATTGGGTAAAATTATAAAAGCAACCCCTGGACTTTCGAAGTTGCATTCCAGATACCATTGACAAGAATTTTGTCTCTTGTGGTCTACTCCTATGCATTAACAAAAGGCTAATAAAATCTATACATGACTATATAGCACTCTAATGTTGTTTGGGAGGATCACTTGTTCTCACAAAATAGAAAAAATATTCAACCATTCTCCATCATCTTCATCATCATTTTATACATCAAAATTACCATCTAGTCTGAATCTCAAATCAAACATGGAAGTGGCAAAGGAGCAAAATAACAAAACAAATAAAAAAAGAAACATTGTTGCATCATATTTCAGTTACCAATCGACAAGAAAAAAAATTTGTCAACCAGCAAAAGGGGCAGCACTTCTGAAAGTGTGAAGGAATGCAAGTTCTTAGTGATCAGGCCGAGCAAAGTATTGGTCAAATTTTATCAGAAATTTGTCAAATTTTACCCTCATCAAGTAGAGAGAGAAGCCGATCTTCTAAGTTACTACTGAGTACAAAGCAGTTCAACTCACATGACTTTGATGGATGACTATTAACAAAAAAAAAAGGATAGAAACCGCGAAGGGAATTGTTCAGGTTGGGAGGAGAGTAGAGGCCTGGCCGTTTAGGCTACAGATGTGTTGTTTGGCCTTACTTGCGTGTTCTACCTTCTTTTCGATGTACCTTCTTGTTACTATTTCTTACTTTTTTCGTGCTCTGTTCACAAAACATTGGTCTTTGTTACTTCTACTTGTTTCCTCACAGTTGTCCACAAGTCGGGGGTCTTTACGGAAAAAGCAGCTCCACTCTTTTGGAGTAGAGACCAGGTCTGCATACATCTCACCCCCCAAACTTTTGAGTGGGATTGACTCGGTCTGTTTAGTTGGTTTTAGTTTCTCCATCAAATCAAGATATACAAAATGAAACTTCTATGAAGTTCAAACGGTTTTCAATTTAAAGAGGATATTATAAGCAAATTAACGGTACCTTACTGTCTTAGGTATCTATCAAAAGATTAATAGCATATTCCATCCCACCCACAGAAAAAGGAAGGAAAAAACTTTATTTGTTCCAGAATACAGATTACCAAAGATTTGATAATTTATTTGCTCTAATCTAATAACTTCATCAATACAATTGTTTATGTCAATTGAAAATATATTTTACAAAAATATTGCACCCCATTAGATTCAAGATCCATCAAACAGTGAAAACAGAACTGAAGTTTTAAACAAGAATTTGTAGAAAAGTGAAAAGAACAAGCAGAAATATATATGCTGAAAGTTGAACAGTATTTTATAATATGAATATAGAGGGAGCAATGCTTCAATGGTATATAAATACATACTCATTGAAGCATTTTCTAATGTGCAATGAGTGTGTGTCCCATTTGCCGTATATAAATATTATATACTTCATTCAAAAAAAGACACCAGCTAACAAAAGGACCTTTGGCCTTGCAGTATCGTAACACAACCTTCCTAGAGGTCAAGTGTTCCAACTTCACCAAAGGGGGGGGGATGTGTGAGTTCCATTTTATATAAATATTATATATTTTAAGAAAAACACCAACTAGCCAAGTCAGCCAAACATTGGTGGATGACTGCATAATTAGAAGAGATCCATTAACCTACCAAATACGACTGAATTGAGTTCTCTACACAAAGTTGGTTTCCTCAAAACAATGGCCCTAGTAATGCTTCAATCGTGAATGGCTAAAATAAATAACAAAAGCATAAAAAATAATAGGCAACAGCCAAGTGACTCAAACTAACCTGTCTTAAGAAATGATTCTACGGCCACAGTGAACCTCGCCCGATTCAACGTATGCAGGACAACAGATTTTACCTGGTCAAGTGAAAAGGTAACTCAATGAACACTAAGTTAAAAAGGAAAAACCTTACGATATTAAAAATGGTGTTTACCAGCTTAGCATAGATATACCTCTCTGTAAGAGCTGAAAAGATATCCACAAGAGAGTAGGGCAAATGTGGTGAACAGCGAAGGATTTCTTTTAGCTATGATGATGCTCAATCCCGTTCCCAACTTCACAAGAAAATAATGTATTCAACTCAAAACTAATTTACATATGTGAAGTATCAAATCGTTATTATCAAAACGAGTGGAATCCAAATCATTTGATAGTCTGAGCTGATTTGTCTCACAACTTCTTCATTAGCAGGGACTCGGGAAATGGTAAAAAAGAGTTATAATGGTTTTCTTTTTCTGTAATCATGATATCTCCTGCGTAGTGCTATCTTTGTGTGTGGTGGATCATAGATTTTCTATTTCAGCATTACATTTTAGTTGTTAAATGTTTGTTACACTGCATGTCTAAATGTCTTAGAGCCTTCTATCTATTGACAAAAATTAAATCATCAAAAAAATTTAGTATTGGGGTTCTTTGGCATCGAGTGGGCAATCCATGGAGATGAAGAACTAGTGTCTAATTTGGATATCTCCCTTTTCAAATTGATGGATATCTCCATCTAACAAAATAGAACACAAAACCATTGAAACAATAAAATTTAGAAAGCCTGAGTTAGTTACCTGCGATATGGAATGGTTAAGAAAGCATAGTGTGCTGTTGTAGAGAATTCAACCATAAACCAATTTTATAAATATATTACTGTTATATATCTAACACTATTAAAGTTCAGCACAATATAAAGCATGATTAAATTGCCATCTCTGAAAGTATGAACCATTGAAGAATGGCATCTAATCCCATTTCACTTTGTTCCATTTCACTTTGTTTGTACACACATAAAACGCTTGCTTCTTATTTACGTGGATAGCTATCGAAATACATTTCTATCGAACAACGACAAATTCACCTAACAGCTACCATTGCAACCAATCATTGAAGCAATGCCAACTAAATACTCAGATGAGGCACTAAATGAAACTTGGCATGCTTCTTGGAACGTGGTAAACTGATGTAGAACGGATGGATAGTGATTCCTCACAAGCCCTTCATTCCCAAACTTCTATTGAAATTCCACTATTCCGTGGTTGGCGGTCATACCAAGGAATTAAAAACTTATCAACGCATAGTTCTGAATGGTTTTGGGTTGGAATGCACAAATCAATTCAATGGTATGTGCAGGCTTGTACAATATGTCAACAACAAAATTCAGCATCTACCCATCCCGCAGGATTGTTACAACCATTGCCAATACCCTCTCAGGTTTGGGAGGAAATAACGAAGAATTTCATCGAAGGTTGCCTTGTTTGAATGAGTTTGATACAGTGTTACTACATCCCTTTGATGCAATTTTGGTTGTGACGTTTGTTCGGGAGAGATTCGCCTTCATGGATTCCCATCTACAATTGTACCCGATTGACATAAGGTATTCATGAGCATTTTTTGGAAAGAACTATTTCAGTTGCAAGGAACAAACCTAGTATGCAACATCATGTATCACCCCCACACTAATGGTCGATCAAAGATCATTAACAAGGGGGTGGAAACATACTTAAGCTGTTCCATCCAAGGCAATCCTCGAAAGTAGGCACACCGGTTACCGTAGGCTGAATTTTGGCATAATACTTCCGTTCACACTTCAACTACGTGTACACCCTTTAAGGTATTGTATGGTTGTGACCCATCTAAGTTGCTTCAAACATAGTCAAGGCATATGGGGGTTTCTTTCTTTAGAAGAACAACTGTTGATAAGGATGCTATCTTAAAAAATTGTCAAGCACATATGCTAAGGGCTCAACATCAAATAAAATTGGCAGCAGAAAAGAGTTGCAAAGATGTTCAGCATTAAATGGGATTGGATATATTTGAAACTTCAACCGTATCTGTCAAAAATCAGTTGCAAGGCAGCTCGCGATTCAATCTTATGGGCCGTTCCAAGTCATTCAACGAATTGGCAAGGTCGTGTATAAGCTCCAGTTTCCAGAATCTGTACTCATTCGCTCAATATTCCATGTTTATCAACTGAAGAAAGCAGTAGGCGAAAAGTGGGTAACACCAACTTTGTCACCCCAATTAAATGCTAAAATGGAATTGAAAGTTGTCCCGAAGATTGTGCTAAGAGCATGTTCAATTTATGCAGTGGCAAGGGAGAAGTTAGAGATCCTACTTAAGTGGAAGGAGTTTCACCAGTCGGGGGCATCTTGGGAGGATTTTGCAAGCCATGCAACAAGTGTTCCAGATTTCCACCTTGAGGACAAGGTGTTCTTTGGGAGCAGGGTAATGTTAGATACCCTCCTATTCGCCTTATGCATAGTCAAAAGAAGAAGCCAAGTCAACATTGGAAAGAGGACCAGTAAAGAATTGAAGTACCCTAACTGTTGATTTTGTTATTCTGTTGGTAGGGTGATAGGAGTCGATAAAAAATGCCAAGATAGAGTATTAATACCCTACAGCTTTCAAGAGGCTTCAGTCTCTCCCTATTTAGTCTCAGATGATTGAATTATAATAAACTGATCTATATTCCAAAAGGTAAATAATGAAGGTATTTAAACTAATAAGTAAAGACTCCTAGAATAAAACGAATCCTAAAGCAAAATGAATAAAACAATAAAATTAACATAAGATAATTATGTAAACTTGAGGACTTATCCGAAACTTGTGCTTTATATGTATCTTATTAAATAGCCCTCTTCTCTTTCCTTATTGAATATGTATGTCTGTCGGATTGTAGATGATATGCAGTGGTAAACGTTAACTTCATACCTTGTAATCAAAAAATCTCCTTCCAGAAACTGCAAAGAAAAACTTTATCCTTATCGATGATCACCAAGTTCGGAACAATCTCCAGTATTAAAACTTCAGCTACTATTGCTGCTAAAAATAGGTGTTTTAATGGAATGAAGTGAGCATATTTGCTTAACCGATCAACTACCATCATAAAAGTCATAGTCAATTCCTCCCATACCATTAGCAGTAGTGGAATTGGTTGCAACAAGCCAAGTGTTCCCCCTTAGGTTTTTTATTTCTTTGACAGACCTCATACTTCTTGACACATTCCCTTAATTCTCCCTTCATGCTCATCCAAAACAATTCAGAGACTATTCTTTGATACGTTCTCACCACTGCGAAATGTCCCCCATTGGTTATGCATGAAATTCCTCCAAAATGATAGGAATCAATTGTGAAGACTTTGAGATTACCAACCTATCCTTGTACCATAATAAACCTTGCCTTACTTCAAATCCTTTGTGCACCCCTTCTTGTGATTGTAGCTTGGGCATTACCCTAATTAAAAATGAATCCTTGGTTATTTCCTCTTTGATTGTCTCCCATTGCCTTCATTGAGGTCCTCCCAACATAAAACACTCTGTCACTCCTTGATAATGCATCCATTGCTTGGTTTTTCTTCCCTGTCTTGTAAATGATTTCAAGCTCGTACCCCAAGAGCTTGGTTAACCACTTTTGGTATTGTGGTTCTACCAACCTTTGCTCCAATAGAAACCTCAAGCTTTGTTGGCATGTCCTTACAACGAACTTCCTTCCGATCAAGTACAGCCGCCACTTTGTTATTGCAAATATGATGGCCATGAGTTCCTTCTCATATATGTGTTTCGGTCAAGCAACCTAACCTAAAACTTGGCTATGGTATACGATCGATTGTCCCCGTTGCAGTAATATCGCCCCAACGCCCTGCCCCGATGCGTCTGTTTCAATTTCAAATGGCTGACTAAAATCCGGTAACTTCAAAAGTGGGGTTGTAGTCAATACCTTCTTCGAAGGCCACATGAGCCGTCTTTTGCCACTTAAATCCTTGTTTCTTCAACAAATCCATTAAAGGCCTTGCAATCTACCCGTATCCTTGATGAATTTTCTACAGTAACCAGTTAAACCCAAATATCCGCTTAGATGTGTTACAGTTTTTAGTGTTGGCCATTTGAGCATTGCTTCAACTTTCGTCATATCCATAGACACCCCTTTTTTTGAGACCACATGCCCCAAATATACTAGTTCTTCTTGGCCGAACTTACACTTTTTCCTGTTCACATACAAGTTGTTTCCCACAGCACCTTAAGTGCTTTACATGATCATTTTCGTCCCTACTATACACCAAAATATCATTAAAAAAATATCAGCATGGATTTTCTTAAAAAGGTCGAAATATATCGTTCATCAGTGCCTGAAATGTGGATTAAGAATTTGATAGACCAAAAGGCATAACCCGAAACTCGTAGTGGCCTTCATATGTTCTAAAAGCAGTCTAGTGTATGTCCTCCTTCATTCTGATTTCGTGATAACCAGATTTAAGATCTAGTTTTGAAAAATAAGAAGCCTCGTGTAGTTCGTCTAGCAACTCCTCAATTATCGGATTGGAAATTTGGCCGGTACTGTTTTTTTATTTAAAGCTCTATAGTCGACACAAAATCTCCAACTCCCGTCCTTTTTATCCAAAAGTATCGGACTTGGGAATGGACTTTGGCTATATTGAACAAGTCATGCACTCAACATTTCTTTCACCATTTTTTCGATCTCATCCTTCTGGCATTGTGGATATCGATAAGGGCAGACATTAACCGATTCTACTCCTTGCTTAAGCACAATCCCATATTCTCTCCCTCTTTTTGGTGGTAATCCGTCTGGCATACAAAAAACAACCTCATTTCCTTTATTAGTTTCTCCAAGTTGTCAGGTAACATTTTGCTACCCTTGTTCTCAGCTTCCACATTTCCTAATTCAATTAACACCCCTTGTCCTCCATTCCTTAGTGTCTTCATCATCAATTTTAATGATACTAGGGATCTGCCAAGAGCTAGGTTTCCTTTCAAGGTTAAGATTTCCCCTCCTTTTTTGAATCTCATCACATGGTTTTGCCAATTCACCCATGTTTCGTCCAAGTGAGGCCAACCATTGAACGCCTAATATTACATCCGAGTTTCCCAAATTAATGGGCAAGAATTCTTCCACAACTTCAATTCCTTGCATACTTAGCTTCACCCTTTGACATACCTTGTGTCCCTTCATGCTTCTCCCTCTCCTATTGAGATATCATATTCTTTTGTGATTCTCGTAGATAAACCAAAATTCTCAACTAACATCCTGGCTATAAAATTGTAGGAAGCCCCACTGTCAATTAAAAACAACTACCTTTTGACCTTCCACCTCTCCTTCTAACTTCATAGTCTTCAGTGTTGACAATCCTACTATTAAGTTCAATGACACTTCCACTTCTACTTCTTTTCACGTTTCTATTCCCGCCAATGCCATCATCTCCACCATTTTTGGGTATTCATCGACGTTATACTCTTCCGCCTCTTAAACCACCAACACACTAAGTTCCTTCTTTTTGCATCGATGACCCGGAGAATACTTCTCATCACACCTATAACATAAACCTTGAGTCCTACATTGTTGAAGTTCTTGATCGGACAACCTTCTAAATTCCCTGACAGATCTTCCTCCCTATCTACTACTCTTGTTGGAGGGTTCAACAACTCCCTTGTTTCCCACGGATCCTTCTCCATTATGCTTGTTCACCATACCTTTTGGATTATTTATTCTTGCTAAAATATTATTTTTTTCTTCTATCCTCTAATCTAGTTCCATGGCCTTTCCAATCTCACCGGTGCTAAGGTGCAGACTTATGCTCTAATTTGGACTCAACCCGTTTAAGAATCGACTAACAAAAACTTAATCTGGAATCCCTTCTAACAGGTCTGCCAATGTAACAAACCTTCTTTTGTATTCCGCCATCATGTCGTCTTGCTTCATGGCCAAGAATTGCTCACATGAAGCAGTAATGTTTGTAATTCTTCCAATAATAGATCTCTTTTTATTCTCCCATTGGAACAACAACAAAGCGTCACCCTTAAAAGCAATGACCAAGACTTCTAGTTTTTCGTCATTGGTTAGTTTAGTAAGAGCGAAATACCTTTCAGCCCTCAAATATCCAACCGTCTCGATCTGTCACTTCGAACAGGTAACCCTAGTTTCCTCCTTATCGCAAGAAATCGACCGTATCGTAGTTTTTGTCCCCGTGATAGTCCACCCTTTTTGGTTGTCTGTTGTCTTCGCTTTCGTCCTCTCCCCCAGTGTTCTCAGTGCTGCTTCTTGCAATAGCTATGTTGTTTCCATTTGTTTCATCACTTTCTGCATCCTTCAACAAGTCCACCTCCACTTGGATCGTTCCCAAGCTTCCCTCTACCTCGATGTTACTGATCAAGTCATTATTGCGTGAACAGTAATCGTGAACAATAATCACAAATACTAATCCAGAACAGCAACAGTAGGCTCTGAAACCAATTTGATAAGAGTCAATAAAAAATGCCAAGATTATAGTGTTAATATCCTACAGCTTTCGAGAGGCTACGGTCTCTCCCTATTCAATCCCAGAGAATTGAACAATAATAAATCGATTTATATTCCAAAAGGTAAACAATTAAAGTATTTAAACTAATAAGTAAAAGACTCCCTAGAATAAAATGAATCCTAAAGCAAAACAAATAAAATAAACACAAGATAATTATCTATAAACTTGAGGACTTATCCAAAACTTGTGCTTTATCTTTATCTTATTCATCTGCCCTCTTCTCTTTCCTTCTTGAACATGCCCTTATACCCTGAAGTCTATCATAGGGGTATTACAGATACTTGCTTACAATAAATCTAGTATAAATACATGTTCACTGCCAAAATACATATGGCCCTTACTTTCTGTTCCCCTTTTCCTATTATTCCACTAGTGAAACTCCTCTAAGGACTGCACTCTGTTTACATTGATTGTTGAATCAATCCAACTCACAACACCAAATTGGCCAGCAACAAGACACAGAAGAGGGCCATCTTATATCAAACCAGCAGCTGTGTGTTGGTTGGAACAGAAACTGATTAAAGAATCAAGACAATAAGAAGCAGCAGGAGCTGCAAGATGTGCTATATTGGTGACAGCTTCTGCTGTCATGCCACAAAATAACTTAAGAAAGCATCATTTACAATACAAGGAAAACAAATATATAACAGTTATAACATAGGTCGTATGCCCAAAGATAAACCCTAAACTCTATCAAGTTTAAAGCTACTATTACTACTTCTATGTATATCTAACAAACTACAACACTTTGCTTTTTCATAGTTGCCATAATTCCAGCCTTACTCATACTATCGGTCATACATCCTTGTCATTGAACTTATAGCTAATAAGTAATATCAACCACATCCAGCTTGAAACATGCATATATGAATATCATTGAGAAAGAACACCCACAACACCACCTGCACCCCTCAAGAAAAAACACACGCTAGGAGAGGAGAGAAATTAACCTTTCAACAGAAACTAATAATCCAATTTTATCCATTAAATGGCAACACCTTGAAATTGTGATGTCATTAGCTGCAATATTTCCTTAGTTGACAAACTTTCGAGCTAAAATTACTAATTTTTGGCGTACTTCATCCCCCAACAAAAAAACTTGCCATTATCCCCGATACCGGTCCCCTGAGGCAAAGAGTAATAATAAAACAACAAAGAAATAAAAAATTACCAACTTCAGAGAGGTAAGTTCTCTCCTAAGATTCTCAACTTAATATTTGGTAACTATGATCACATCAAGCATGCCATCTATTTTCTACTAATCTCCTATATATAGAGCCAAATAATTATGCAAACAATGTAATGTAATTGCTACTTTTCCCTAATGTGATTATAGTATATGGTAAGATGGTAATATATATATATATATATATATATATATATCCCTTAATTACTTTCTGGAATAGGACTTCTTAATTATAGAAATAATAAACTTACCATGTTAACCTTAAATAATGCAAGTCCAACAGCATTTGGGCAAATGTTTTCATATCATTGCTACAAACAATAACTCAAATAGGCCGAATGAATGTATCAGTCAGACATACCAGGTCCGCCACATTTCCAACACATTCTCCCTTGGCAGTAACATCGCCTATGTTTTCACCCTTTGCAAAGGCTTTGTATATGGGAGTACGAGTTGATGTTGATGTAACAGCAGCAACATTCTACAAATAAAAAGAGAACTTGGTAAAACATCAGAATTAGTTTCACAACAGTGGCATGACTTCATAAACACAGAGAGAAGAGAGCTAAAAAACCTTAGCAACATTGGCAGCACAGGCAAGAGGCAGAAAGAGGTGCGGTGCAGCTGCAGTTGCCAATTCTACTCCAGCACCCAACTCCATCAGAAGGTCACCTGATAGTCGAAGCTAAAAGAAATAAATTGATCAGATTTGTAATGTTTTTACTTCCATAACATAGGTCAAACGTAAGACAAGCTTGACACAGAAAAATTCACCTGCTTCAAATCATAATCAAATTTCTTTCCTTGCCGAGAAAAAAGCATTTTGCCAATGCGCCCAGAACCATCCTACACATCAAGAATATAAAATGATCTTATTATGTAAGAAACAGAATTCCTAACTCAAATTTCACCGAAATATGGTAAAAATAATTATTTCCTTTCTTTATCAAACATTAATCATATAGCTTTTATATTCAACTGATCATCCTGAGAGAGCATATACTGAATGTCATTAGAACAAAGTTAAGTAGTGACTGCCTAGTGCCTGTACAACTTATGTCTAATGTGTGTTGTACAAATAAACTATGAATTACAAGCAAAAGATTGCATTATGAGCTGTTAAACTAAAAAGTGGTTGGGCAGGAGGCACCCCACTTTCCACAAAGTTAAACTAGAAAGTGCTTGAGCTGTTAAACAAGAAAGTTAAGTAGTGACTGCCTAGTGCCTTGTTCTTGGTATTACTCAAAATTGTTTCAACTTAAAACGAACCAATGTTGTAACTTGTATGGTACTGTAACAGATCAACCAACCAACAACAAAAATATTATTTTTACCTTTATGTCACCAAAGAAAAAAAAGGAAGGAAAGAAACACACCTAAAATATTTTTCAAGATGTGTGGACCCAATACATTGTGCAAACACTAAGTTCAAGGTTCAATTTTTTAGATCCATAGGGGTTTGTTTATTCTGTGTAAATCAAGAGGTCCTATGCGAGCTCATCGTTTCTAGCTTTGGTCCAAGTTTAGTTTTCAATGCTGATGGTTCCTGCTCTGCTTTACTTTTCAGACTTGGTAATTAATGTCTCTGTCTTTCTAAATTAGTAATCAATGCCATGTACAGAGGCAGCCTATAGCCTAGTCCTCAGGATAAGAAGGCTGAATTTTGATGCAGTTGAATCATTTTATATGAATGATATTTGAGCCTCCTTGTTAATCCTCCTTATCTTTCTTTACCATACTGCTTTTGCAATTCCTCTATCATTTGCTCCAACTGCAGGTACTGTACCATTCTAGAACAACTTGGTTGCATCATCAAAATAAAAACATCAACCCATTACAGATTCAACAAAAAATGATTGAAGGAGAAGGAAATGATCTAAAGTCACAATGTTCTAGAATATTAATCCTTACAAGGAGCAACAGGTAGTATTCCAAAGAAATAACAGACTTAACTATATAAAGTAGTATCATCTAAGATAATGATATTACAAGTTTGATGAGCCAACTTTTATAGAAAAGTGTTCTCAATGATGGTGACCTTTAAAGCACCACTTTAAAGAATGAGCAAAACCAAATGGCATTCATATGTGAAAAGTGAACATTGTCATTACCTTGATAATCCAGTTGATAGCTACGGCACCAGAGGTAGCTTGGTTTTTGGAGACACCAACAGAATGCAGAAGTGCTTGTGTGGTGAAGACGCCCATCGCTCCACCAAAGAAATGCTACATTGAACATACATCAATAAATCATTAAAAGAGTAATGAGAATGCTGGTATGTAAAGTAAGAAGACATATCATCACATTAGTTACAGACCAGATCCTTCCTCAATATATAATGGTGTACCTTTAAAGCTCTCCATGTCATGTAGGGCACATACGAAGGGCTAACACTGTCAGGGAAGCCTTCTGGAACTACATAGGATCTTATAAAGGACATCAACTCCTGCAATGCTACATGGTATCAATGGCAACTGAAAACGATACAGCAATAAACTTGTGACAGAAAATCATGGACATGTTTATGAATTAGTTTGGGATAAGAGCCCTGTTGCTTATATGCATGAATCTGATTACATGCTGGTAGAACTGACAAGTTATCACCCAGCCAATCCACACAGAAATATGGCTTTCAAGTTTATTGCTGGTGCTTCAGCTTTGCTTTGATCTGTCCATGTTTTTTTCTTTTCTGCAGCGCTTAGCATTTTGACCTTTTATCAGTTGATCTAAGCCATAATCTTCAGCACTTAATATTTTAATAGATTGGGTTAAATTCTCTCATCTTAATCTGCAATTTCTCTTCACTTCATCTACTCTTTGCATATAGAAGTATAAACATTGATACACAGTAAGCTAGATGTTGACCATGTTAATCAAGAATGACTTTAAGAACTTTACTTTCATACTGATTGAAGTTATTAGAACTTACATGCTTACACAAAAAAAAAATTATAACTTCCAAGACTTAATAACGGGCCAGGCCATTCATGACCTATCTGTACCAAAAAAGTGAAAACTTCGCCTCTTTTGGGGTTGAAAAGAACATAATTTATCCAATTGATAACTTGAATCTTTGTAATTGGTATTTGATAACATTAAATAAATCAGCAATGACTCAAGGAAATTGAAAACGTCTATCTCTTGATTCTTTTTTCTTTATGTATTTACTTATAAGCAGATGTAGCATAAAATATTCGAAAAATTTGACCACCAAATGACGGTTCAGTGATCACGCAATCAACTGCGGAGTAATAGCTATCTAAATACAAATTCAACAGGAAGAACATACGCATTAAAGATAAATGGGCAAGACAACAACACGAAGCTCTACGCGCACACAAACACACACACACACACACTGCGCATATCGGTGTACATAGAGAATAGAAGAGAGAGAGAAGGAAAAACCGACATCCGCAGGGGCTTGACGAGACTGCAAGCTGACGGCACGGATCGAATTTGAACCCGTCTTGAACTTTTTCCCGTCGTTATGCGCCAAATATTTAAATCTACGGCCATCGATTTCCTCATAACAAATCAATCTCAAGCTGGCATCAACGAATTGATCTTCAACCAGACCGAAACTGGTTGCCTCTTGCGACCTAGTCTGGGAGGGAGCAACAACCGAGGGCGGAGGAGAAGATGCGAGGTTGGCGGAGATTCTTAGAGTTTCACGGACAAGCAAAAGAGCATCTTGAGAAGTGGTGGAGGTGGTGGCGGTAAGGGTTTGAGAGGTGGCGGAATTGGAAGGGCGGTCGAACTTCATGGTTGGAAGAAGTGAACAATGAGTGGGGTTTGTGTGCTTGTTATGTAGAAGAAGGTGAGGAGAGCTTTGGAAATGACGATGGAGGCATCATTTACAGGTGGCTGACAATTGGACTTCTTTACCTTCCAACGTAGCTTTAAGAGACGAACCGATTTAAAAGGATCGGTCGAGTTTTTTTTTTCTCTATGAATGCAAATTAATATTTTATATAACTAGGAGGATAATTGCGTAATCTATCTATATATCTATATAAAACAGAAACTTGCATAGATGACGTGTCATCATCACGGGCCAAGATTCCTAGCTTCCTTTTTTCTCATTTTTTTCCTTTTTTTAAAAACATTCCAACCTTAAACCTTCAGCCTTCCAAAACTTTACGTTTTCCTTCTTTCTTCTCCATTGATAATCGTCGCCCCACCTCCACCGCCTTCTGTCCTTGTCGCACCTCCACCGCCTGCTAATGCTTCAGCCTTCCAAAACTTTACGTTTTCYTTCTTTCTTCTCCATTGATAATCATCGCCCCACCTCCACCGCCTTCTGTCCTTGTYGCACCTCCACCGCCTGCTAATGCTAACGGTCCGACATGACTGGTTTCGGGTCTTCAGGGAAAGCTTTGCGAGATTGCGATCTTTGGGGGCCGTTTTTCATTTCGTGAGGATCCGGGGAAAGCTTTGCGATATTGGGATCTGGGTGACGTTTTTCTTCATTGTGTTTCTAGGGCTCGTTCTATCTTGGCCCGCCTCGGTAAAGAAGGTGCGTTTGCTTTCTATTGTATCATGTTGTTTCATTTTAGATTTTAGGGCAGTGCACTAAATGATAGTGAGTTGAATGTAATAATCCCTCTATTTTATGTAATCTCATTCAAAGTATACATATATCTGTGTGTATGTATATGAACATTCAATCGGACTGTGAGAGAGATTTTGAGTTGAGAGTGTTTTGATTCACAAAAAATGGCAAGATCAATTCTTCTTCAACTGGTTCGATCTGAAACACGCTGTCATTTGAATTACCCTAACATTCACACAGGTTTCTGTAACTTTTCTTCATTTCTGTTAAAGTTTTGTTTCTGATTGAACTCTTGGTTGAAATTTTTTACCCTCTTCTTTTAATATATGTATATGCACATAATAATTCTTTGCTGGTACGGGTCAAACCATTAATTTTTGTGATTAGGATCGTTGTTGATACAAACCAATCAGCCCCAAATTGTTGTTATACTTTTGAGCCTCTGTGGTTTATACAGAGTCTTGATGCATGATCAAGAACGTGGTTAATTAGTGCATCAAGTTTCACACAAGATCACTCAATAGACTGATTTCATGCATATATGTGTTGCAGGTTGCAAGTGCAAGAATGGTGCCATGGCCCATGGGCAAGAGCCCATCTTAACCACACAACCCAAGCTCTCATCATCTCCACAGGTTCACGACCATATTGCAATCTTACTTTTTCTTAGTTAGACCTTTCTTTTGTGGGTATCAAATGTCTAACCAAAAATCTGCATATACGTTATGAAATTTCAGTGGCTGGAGCTGCATATTTTATAGTTGCAGACAAGACTGTCCTCAAAACTGCCAGAAGAAACTCCTTCAACAATACCAATGGACCATGAACCTTTGGCATCTTATTGATTGGTTATCTGAGATCACTCCTTGTAACCACTTGGTTAATCCTATATTTATGTGATAACCTGTTTAAGGTGAGCACAAGCTTGTTTTCAATGAAATTATTCAGGTCTTCTAATCTGTTTTTTTTGTTGGTTTTGTTAAAGCAATGTTAGTTACTAATATGATATTATCAGCTTATGTCTGTCATATTTATAGTCATCATAACTCTAGGCTAACATGAATCAAACACCATGAATTGATGATGAAAGTTTTGATGCAGAATGTCTTTGTTTGAGTTGTCCGTAAGCCTTATATGATTTGAACTTTGCTTTGTATCATGATCGGATTTCTGAATCACAACCAGAAAAAGAACTCGGGTGCAAATTAATATTTTATATAACTAGGAGGATAATTGCGTAATTTTATATAATTAGAATGGTATTCATGTAATATAGTAAAATAAATCTCGATTTTACTATTTAGTTTTTTTTTTTGTTTCTATTAATATGATACGATTTTATATGGTTTTGAGAAAATAATAATGTTTTTATTTTTAAATAAATATAAATTTGAAGATATAATACAAATTTGAAAAAAATAATGTTTTATTTAATTTAGATTTAATTTTTTATAAAAATAATAATTAAATATTCTGTTAAAGCTTAATTATTATCTTAGTTATATTTTACATTTTTTATACTTAAAATGGATGTTTATCATGTACTTGATTATGTTTATCTGCAGTTAGTTACACGTATTTAAAAATAGAGCTTTAATAAGTTGTACTTACGTAAAGTTACTTGTAATTTTAAATTTTAAGTAATATGTATCAATAAACAATATTTCATGCATGAAAAATAGTTTTTAAGAGTTTTTATCAAATGCTTTATAATATAACTAGAAGGGTACTCGCGCAATGCAGCGAGATACATCTTGATTTTAATATTTCATTTTATTATTTATATAAGTTGATGTTATAATATGGTCTTATGTGATTTTGAAAAAAGCGATGATGTTTTTATTTATGAATAAAATATAAACTTGAAGATATCATAAAAAATTTGACAAAAATATATCGATATTAGTATCAGATTAACTATTTAAATATCCTAATTTTTGTGTAATTTTTTAATTCAAATCTATACTATATTATAAAACATTTGGCTAAAACTCTTAAA